GGGTTCTTTCTTTTTTTTTTTACGAGCAGTCATCTCGCGGAGTTCAGCTTAACCATAATTTGATATCGCCAATGTCATCTGATACTGACCAACAACCTTTTTCGTGGACAGGAATACGCTTTCGCTGCTGGGAAAAAAGATGACAGCCCTGACGCAAGAAATATTGAAGATTGGCTTTCTGTTGCTCCGGGACTTTCTGGGTATTGCCGCGGTGGACTCTCCCGACATGCCAGCCTCCAAGTGTAGTGGCCCTGGGTGTGTTGTTGAACCAACTGTTGCACCAACTGTAGAGGGGGAAAAATAGGACTACCCCCTCCCCCTTCTCCCCAAAAGAGAACGAAAGAGATTGAATAAATTAGGTCTAGATCTATATTATGTCGTGTTTAGCTCGTGGTACGTAGACACTGGAAATACACTTGATACCAGATGTTGTCCTGTCACCTTTCCAATAAAACAATACCAAATACTTTTATGCTTCTCTTCTTGTTGTGTGGGCGGTTGGGGGATGCTCTGGTGCGGTGCGCTTCTTCTTTCCTGTCAAATATTATCTTGCGGCATTATCTCTCCTCCTTCTTTTCTATGTTTGTTACTTGCTAGTAACCTCTGATCGTCAGCCCTCTTATAACCTATAAATAAGTGCCGTAAAACTCTTTCTGAAACTAAACTAGACTTCTTACTGTTGCTGTTATCGGAACAAATGTTGTTGTTGTTGTTGTTGTTGTTGTTGTTGTTGTTGTTGTTGTTGTTGTTGTTGTTGTTTTTGTTGTTGTTGTTGTTGTTGCTACTATTTTTCGTGGGTTTTTTTTTTTTTATTGTTAAGATTATATGTTTTATTATTGGTATTAAATAAGTTCATGTGGCGTTTGTTGTCATTGCTTTTGTTTCAGTTATTGTCGATGTTTCATTGTTGTTGTTTTTGTTGTTGTTGTTTTTGTTGTTGTTGTTGTAGTGTTATTGTTGTTGTTTTTGTTATCGTCAATGTTTTGTTGTTGTTGTTGTTGTTATTGTTGCCGTTGATGTTTTGTTATTGTTGTTGTTGTTGTTGTTGTCGATACTGTTGTTGTTATTGTTGTTGTTGTTGTTGTTGTTGTTGTTGTGGTTGTGGTTGCTGCCATCGCTCTCACCTACCTCTGAAGGAATTTGACAGGAATTGAATAGACGACAAGGAAAAGGGAACGGATAGAAAAAAGCAGATATTTGGCTTGCGCAAAGGTTGGTGCTTTTTTTTAATTGAGAAAGAGCGGCGCAAACAACAGAATCCCCCCCCCCCCCTCTCTCTCTCTCTCTCGCCTGGGTACAGTAATATGTCTGATGGCAAGATAAAGACAAGACATGATCAGATTAATATTTAGGTACAGGAGGTTGTCAGAAAGCCACACATGTTGAAGGGCAGACTGCCTAGAGTCAAGAGTTACTAGAGGCACCACCAGAGCCTCACAGTCCCAGATACGTTGTAATTACGGTTTGAGGGCCTGGGCCAAGAACACTAGCGTAGGCCTACTCGGTGGTTGCCCCACGCCGTAGCATCAACGGTTTTGGTAGCATCCACGCCAGTATGACGGTCTATTGCCGTCCGCCCTGGTTGCAGCCTGCTGCGATCAACTTTGAAGCTGCGGCCAATCATTGGCTGCGGACGTGAAGAATGTTTCGATCTGCATATTATTATATATGCTAGCCTACATAATATTATGACATACATCATACTGCACGCCTGTACCGTGGAAAATTTAACCTGGCCAATATTGGGACCATATTTATTCATTTATATTGTGTGTATGTGTGTGTCTGTGTGTGTG